GGTGGGCACCGGGCCCTCAGCCAGGGTCAACATACCACAGGGGCCATGCCGGCAGGAGGTCAGTCCTCCAGTGACATACAGGCGAGCGCCTTCCCAACGAACAAATGCATTTACCTCAAAGAGCAGCAGTGAGCTGACCCTGCCAGAGCTAAACACCCCCCACAGCTGCTCAGTCACACCTCCCCACAGCAACGCAGGTGAGGGAACAGGAAGAAAATCTTGTGGGTAGAGATGAAGGTCAGTTCATAGGTGGGTGAGAGAAAGAAGGGAGGAAAAAAAAAAATGCGGAATCACTTGCCACCTCCCTGAAGCAGGCCGATGCCCTGCCAGCCTCCAAGCAACAGCCACCATGGCAGGCCCCTTCTTTCTCTACCTCATTTTTTAGTGCTGAGCGTGACGCAGGGTAAGGAACTATATTCCCTATTCCCCTTTGGGCAATTTGGGTCAGCTGCCCCAGCCGGGTCTCCTCCCCACCTTGTGCCCACCCCTGGCTGTGGTGCACAAGCACTGATCAGCACCCTCCTAGCCATACATCCTGCACCACGTACACACTGCACCACCTCCACAGCGTAGACTGGAGCGAGCTCCATCCCAGCCAGACCCAGCAAAGGTAGGTTAAGACACACAGCTTGAGCCCAGCAGCCTACCAACTTGTTAAAATTCAGGTAAAGACAAGAGCAAGATAGGCATTTTCAACATCAAAAAATCACATTTTCAGTATCACTCACCACAGCCGCCTTTTTTTCAGTTTGAGCAGAAAGATCAGGACAACCAACAATTCACCTAAGACAGGCCTCTATTAAATAACTAAAAAGCTTTAATTTAAACTCAAGTTAGACACAGATTTGTCTGACTGACAGCTTCAAAGGTGATCCATAACTTGTCAGTAGAACCATGATAAATATGGAGGTATTTTACTTCTGCATGGTTCAAATTCTCCAGCTTTCCAGTCAGCCAGAAGTTTAAAAGCAAACTGTATGTTTGTCTTGTATTTCTTCAGATGTTGATGTATTTTAGACACATGCCCAATTGCCTCACACCATTTTAATTGAAAGAAGCTACAGGAAGGCTCTAAATGAACATGGGCAAGACCAATTCACTGCGATCACACTGCCATCCTAGCACCCAAGATAGGAGAAGGTTAAAGGCCAGTGCTTCCACTCAACAGTTCCTTGAATCTGCTCACGATTTATCCCTGAACTTTTCAGGAGCGTGAGTGGTGATGCCCCTGTGACCTCCTGTCACCATTCTGTTTGTGAAGAAGCCAAGTTAGCGATTCCAAGTATTTCACATCAAGACAACACTCATCCCCCTGATCATTAATTGTGGGGTAAGTCATACACTATATCTCTATTGCCACCCAGAAATTAAATTCTATTTGGACAAAAAGGCATTCACTTTATGTCAATGGACACCAAACACACCAAACACTTTATTTAATAAATTTTATTTATGCAAAGCCAATCCAAAACTGTTGTCTAAAAGTGAAAAGCTCTTTTTACATATTAATAAAAACTTTTTTTGCATGTGCGCACACTTG